GAGGGGGGTGCCTGCCGAGACAGAGAAGCTGCAGGCAGAGGGCCCCCAATCTGCCGTTCCCTCCCCATCCGCTGGGCCCAGCGCCCGCTGCGGGCGCCCCTGCCCTGCCTGGAGCCTGCACGGCCCGGGCACGAGCCCCAGCCCCACCAACAGCCCCCGCCAGCCCTTGTGTGGGGCCAGCAGTGCCAGGAAGGCACCAAGAAGCTTCCGCTGTGCCCGGGCAGCAAGGATGTGGCACCATGTCATCATTTTCAACGCGTGGGAAGAGTGACCCTGTTCCTCCTGCACAGCTCGCTGCTGCCTAAGCAGTAGGACAGAACAGACACCCATCCCTCATAATCAAGGCTTCTCTTTAGAGTAGCCCCAAGGCCCTTGGCACACTTTGCCTTGACCTGTTATTAAACGTTTCCGACCCACGGACAGGGTGTTTTTCACTGACCCCTTTCATGATCCCATAAGCTAAAAAGCAAGGCTGATTGCTTCCAGCAGGAGCCAGGCCACGGGGGTCAGGGCAGTTTCGCTGTTGCTTCTATGCCTTAGGGTCCATCTGCTGGTAAGAAACAACAAGGCAGCATTTTTGTAAAGCTCCTTTTTGTCAAATTGCATCCCCTTCTTCCTGTAAGGTTGGATTCAACCAAAGAATGAGCTTCCTTCTCTAACGCAGGCTTGACTGACACTTCCTTGTCTTTCTCTGCAGATCTGGTGCTGTACTGTGAAGCCTTTCTGACCACATACAGAACATTTATTACCCCAGAAGAGCTCATCAAGAAGCTGCAGTACAGATATCCTTTTGCATGGGCCGAGCAGTCATTGCGGAGGGAGTTGGTAGGAATTTGTTCAGGCAAAAAAGAGCCTGCTGGCACCGCAGTGGGTGACATGCTTGCCATGGAGGTGTCACATCCAGCCTGCCCACTGCTGAGCAGGGGTTCCCTCACCTCTGCATGCTGGAGCAGGTCGAGGCAGAGGGGAGCATCTCCAGCGGGTATGGAGATTGCTTCATGGTGAGCTTCCTGGTCTGCAGCTCCTCCCCTTGGCCCTGCTGCGGTGCCTTCCTTACTGCCATCCGTGCTGAGTGGGTCAGTGTCTCAGTTCAGGCAGTGCAAAGGCCTCCTGGGCTTTGATCCTGCAACCACATGTCAAAGGCAGCCTGACGTCACCCTGCGCCGTGTCACAGCTCATCACTGCCACCTGCAGCGGAGCCCGCGCTCCTGCTGCCATCGTTCTGCCAAGGACACAGCAAAGCTCAGCACGGAGCACTAGGCAGTGATACCTCTTGCACTGGAGAGATGCTGGAGCAGTCCCACAGGCCACTTTCTGCACCCCGAGTCTCATAGTCCACCTGGTGAAAGGTTTTTCAACCTTCGCTGTCCTGTTCCCCTCGCAGCGAATTGGGAAGTGAGATCTGTTATGAGCCCAGATGTCACAGAGCAGTGGGGGGTTCACAGTGCTGCTCATTAAATTTCACCTTAGCCGTAATGCTCTGCTAGCATGAATGCTGCAGGGTGTAAGAACCTCCTCACATCCTTGCTACTTGCACCTGGTGGTGTTTTAGTACCAGGTTCATTAGAGCACTATTAGTGTCCCACATCTCCTAGAATTAGAACACCAGTTTCAGTCAAGTATTTTGCTATTCTGATGTTCCTCACAGTAGCCATTAGTTGTACTAGTGTCAGTCTGACTATGCTAAGTTGCTTCTTTAATTTGTGCCCAACATATGAGAAGTTCTGCCACTTTGCAGACACATTTAAGAAGCGAGTCAGTAAGAACACCTTCTTCGTGCTGGTGAGAGTGGTGGATGAGCTCTGGTGAGTTGCCTTCTTTGTTGTGGGATTGGAGATACGGGGTCAATAACAGTACGGAAAAAGTCTACTGGCTGTGAACACTGCATCCCTTAAACCCCATCCGTGATGGTACCTGAAACCTCTGCCTTGACCAAGGAGACAGCTGCAATGATGGACACAGGGGAACCCGTTTTTGGAAGAGCAGGTTCTCTGAGTGTCCTGTCTGGGTTCATGATTTAAGAAAAAATGATGAAAAGGGAATCTCTTTAGTAAAAGAATTGCTGGGGAGAGGACGAATTTCAGTCACTTCATTCTGCTTTGGGGAAAGAGAAAAAAAAAATACAAATTCTGTAACATGGAATCATAGCTCTGATGCTTGGGCTTTTCATCTTTTTCTCAGCTTAGTGGAGCTGACAGACGAAATTCTCAAGCTGCTGATGGACCTGGTGTTCCGGCTGGTCTGCAACGGGGAGCTGAGCCTCGCTAGAGTGTTACGCAAAAATATCCTTGATAAAGTCAGTCAGAAGAACATGCTGAAAAACGCCAATTGCACCAAACCTCTCGCAGCCCGTGGGGTGGCAGCCAGGTGAGGAGTTGTGCACATAACCCCATCTTGCTCCTTTCTGAGAGATGGGCATCGCTTACGTGCAGATGCAGCAGTCTTCATAGTCCCAAAATATAATGGTGGCAAGAAAACAAGTCACATTTTTTTAGCTTTTAATTGAATCCTTCTTTCCTACAGGCCAGGGACCCTGCATGATTTCCACAGTCATGAAATAGCTGAGCAGCTGACCCTCCTAGATGCCGAACTCTTCTATAAAATTGAGGTACAAGGATGGGATGAGGGTGGTGGCAGGGATTTTGACACAGACTCTCAGCAATTTCTGGTATTGCTCCCTGCCAGCTATCCACACACACCTGTTGTGTTGCTGGAGACAGCTGAAGTTGTGTCAGCAAAAAGCTGTGACCTCTGAGGAATCTAAAGCAGAAATCCTATTTTCTGTGTGTTGTATGTGTGTTTATCCTGTTTTTGTATGATGTTCTCCCACTTCTCTCCCTCTCTCGCTTCCTTGGCAGATACCAGAAGTTTTGCTTTGGGCAAAGGAGCAAAATGAAGAGAAAAGCCCCAACCTGACACAGTTTACAGAGCACTTTAATAACATGTCCTACTGGTAAGGAGATCACAGTGACCATGACATTGAACTGTGCTTAACCTCCAGTGCCTTAGAATTCAATATATTTCTCCTTGAGTTGGATTCCCTTTTTACAAGGATTGTATTTTTTAGTAGCATCATGCATATATTTTTGGCTGGGGACTAGATGCAGAACACACTTCAAAGAACCCAGAACACAGGAAACAGAAAATCATGAGGGTTTTGGAGGCCCAAGTGCAGTCTTTAGGGTGGTGTTACTTCATCGTGGACATCATTGAAATTAGACCATTTTTGTTGTCAATTGGAACACTCCAGTTAATTTGGAAGCATTGTTGATTCATCCAATTTGAAAATGAAGAAATGTGGGGTCAGAACTGTGCCTCTGTGGGTTTATCGTCCTTTTTGTCGTGTCTTGCAGGGTCCGTTCAATAATTATGGTGCAAGAGAAGGCCCAAGACCGAGAGAGGCTGCTCCTTAAATTTATAAAGATTATGAAGGTATCAGCTTGATTCTTGCCGTGAATCACACACACTGTTCACTGAGTACCTGGGAGAGGCGGGTAGCAGTGTGGGACATTGCCTTGAGTAGAGCTGTTTGTTGCCAGAAGACTCTTCAGATCTCTAGAGTAACTGGTGTTCTTCTTCACAGCACTTACGAAAGCTGAATAATTTTAATTCCTATCTGGCCATTCTTTCTGCACTGGATTCTGCACCCATCCGAAGGCTGGAGTGGCAGAAGCAAACCTCAGAGGTAAGGAACAGCAAAGGCTTCTATCTTTAGGGGGAAAAAGGCTAATTGTGGTTATGGTATGAAACATCTGGGTGGGTCTTAACAGCTCAGTGATATCCCGATATGGAGGGAAGGTGTAAAGATGCTCTCTGCTTGTGTAAATGCCATGGTGCTGGAACCCTGCAGAGTTTCTGGGCATTCTGACAGCAGAAATGCCAGCACAGCTCCAGGCTGAGCGAACAGCATCTCCCTCTGCAAATTGAAGGCTTGCTGAAGCTGGAAGTGGTGCCGTTCTGTGTACACAGTCGGGCTCACATTATTAGAGCAACTGGAGGTGTTTGCAAGGTGGCATTAACTCCCCAGCCCGCATGTGTCTCTGAGGGGGAGGTCACTGAGAAAGCTGGTTTTGTAGCAGTGCTGCCACCGTGGGCTTTGTCTTCTGCTAGGGCCTGGCTGAGTACTGCACACTGATCGACAGCTCCTCGTCCTTCCGGGCCTACCGAGCAGCTCTGGCTGATGTGGATCCTCCCTGCATCCCTTACCTGTGAGTTGTGACTCGTCTTCCCCCTGCCATTACTTCAAGCTGTTCCTCCAAGTGACTTCCCAGCAGCTTCTGTTCCACTAAATGCTCACTTTCATGCTAGAGCTAGAAAACACATCAATTTGCCACATTTTTATAGCAAACCCACATGCAATTCATCCTGTACTAGGGAAAAGCATGGTGACAGCCCTGGGCAATGCTTTCCCTTTCCCTGTGATATTGTATTCCTGCTATAAGATGATGGATTTCTCTATCCACTGTTCCTCAGAGGATCTTACTCCTTTTTGTAAACATCGATGGCAAAATTCTATGGTAAAAAGTCAGTAGGAAGAGGCTGCATAGATGCACAGCATCTCACGTGCAGGGGACCATAGGAGGATTGTGCAGGCGAGTAGGGGAGGTGGAGAGAGGGAGACCAGGACTGTTTTGCTGACAAAGCCTTGACATGAGGAAAGTCATTTTGCATAAACTGGAAGGAAAAAGCTTCCCGCTGAAGGGGTGTGGAGGAGATGTTCTCTTCAAGGTTAAATCTCACGCTGAGGATGGCAATTAAATTGTGTGCAGCTGCCTTTTGACTGGCTGTCCTGCCCGTGCGTGACTAACCTCTGTACTTGCTTGCCTCCTCCCTGGCCTGCCACCCCTTCCCTCTTTCAGAGGCCTGATTCTGCAGGACTTGACCTTTGTTCATCTGGGAAACCCAGATTACATTGACAGCAAAGTGAACTTCTCCAAGCGCTGGCAGCAGTTTAACATCCTGGACAGCATGAGGTGCTTCCAACAAGTGTAAGTGCAGCCAAGGGGATCGGAGGCGCTCGGCTGTGGGTCACTGCGGCCAGCAGTGGAGGAGGGAGGGGAGCCTAAAGTCAAAACAAAGTGATGGAGCCCTAAGGGCATAAAGTTTCCCTGCTCCTCCTCTTCCCACAACAGCTTTTCCTCTGTATTGTTGTTGTTGCTGGTTCCTGTGCCATCTCAGTGAGGGAAGGCTTTCCTTAGTGCTGTTTTTCTGTAGAAGCCACGTTTCTAATTCACTGTCGCGGGATCAGGGTGGTAGCATCGCGTGTATCCCCCGCTCCTTGGTGTCATTGCCACAGGGGTCTGGCTTGGGCAGGACAGCTCACGGCACTGGATGTGCCTTGGAGGGGTGGCCTCAGGCTGGGAAAGCGGCGTCTCGGTTAACGGCAGCCATTCTGTTCCCTCTGGTTTTGCAGACATTACGACATCAAAAGAAATGATGATATAGTGTCATTCTTCAACGACTTCAGCGACCATCTGGCTGAGGAGGCCTTGTGGGAACTGTCGCTCAAAATCAAACCTCGGAACATCACGAGGAGAAAAACAGACCGAGAAGAGAAAACCTAGGAGGAGGCTTCGTGCGAGCGAGGAGAATTGCTCCGCAGACGCGCCGAGGGCAGCTAGGAGACTGGAGCTGGGTGTTTGTACCTGTCACTGGCTGGCGACCCTCCCTCCCAGCTGGCAGCGGTGGCTGGTGTGTGAACGCTGGGCTCTGAGCAGCGGCAGCCAAGGCACGAGAGCGGCCAGCGCTCGCTGCGCTCCCCTTCCTCCTCCTCCCGTCCCTCCGCGCATCCATCAGCTTTAAACCCGGGGAGAAGCTTTCTGCACGGAGGGTCCCTTGCAGGGCTGTTCTGGTTTGCTGCCCGGTGTTCCGCGGAAGGAGCCGAGCTTTGCTTTCCATCCGTACGGGAGGATCAGCGAGAGCTCAGCACCCACAGGCAAGTCCCTTGTCTGGGAGCGTCGCCCGGCGGGTGACGCTGCCTCGAAGCGTTTGTGGAGACCAGGATGGAAGAGTTGCCGCTGTCTGCAGAGGAGCTCTGCTTGCAAAGAGCTTGTTTTGTTTACAGGGGTGTTGAGTTTACCCCCGATCTCTCTGGCCTTCCTAAGGGGAGGAAGGCGCCGGTCATAGATGCGAAAGAGGCGCTGAAGCCGTGGGCAGGGACCCGCCGCCTCCAGCCGTCGTATCCCCCTCCTCCTCTCAAGTCTTGTTATTTAAGCAACGATCATCCCTTTGAACCCTGGAAATATTGACTAGCCAAGGTACCGTGGTTCACCCGCCCCGTGAACCCGTATCTTTTAGTGATGGTACTAGCTTTTGCACAGTAAATTCTGTAGTATATAAGACTGTAAATATTAGTATTTAGAAGCCATTGAGGATTTTCTCTTTTGTTGCATGTCTGAAAACCATTGGATTTATAGGAAAAGAAGAATTGCAAAACCATATGTGTAAAATTCACAACCGGTGACAATGTTGTTCCAAGTGCTGGAATTAAGGAGGCTGGGGGCAGCCGCGTGCGGAGCTGCCTGCGGAGCGGGATGCAGGATCCAGGATCCAGGCAGAGGCGGCTACGTTTCCGGGATTGTAAATGCCAGCAGGGAAGGAGCCCTGCTCAGGGCCGAGCCCGTCCCCTCCACCCCATCTCTCCCTTCTCGTTGTTGCCAAATGGTTTTGGGGGGCTAAGGGGGGCACCACCTGGTAACTCTTGGTGCTTTGTGGTCCTTTTTTTTTTTTATTTGGGAAAAGCCTCAAGCAGACGCTGTGCCCAGCGCAGCCCCACGGAGCCAGCAGGGCACAGGCAGCCCCTTCCCGCCGGCGCAGGGTGAACCCCGACCTGTTCGGTGCCTTATCCAGCTCCTCCAGCCCCTCTCCGGTGCCCTCCGAGTGCAGCCCCAGCCGGGCCCGTCGCGTCCCCCCTTTTGGTCCCCGTTCTGTTGTTTACAGTGTGGATCATGGTTTCGAGTGGGTGCTCTAGATGTCATGGGCCCTGCAGGGCCTTTTCCAGGCCCACGTCGTGCGCTCGCAGGTTTTTACAGAGCTCGGCCTCACAAAAACCCGGCGGTTTCCAGGCGGCGCCTTGCAAGGCAGGGTGTTGTGCAGAACATCCTTAATTTATTTCTCAGTAGCAGCTCCGTGTTCCCCAAGGCTCTGTTTAGTCTGGGTGCAGCAGGGCTTCCTCCTGCCAACGGATCGCAAAGGCTGCGCCGGCTCCTTCCCCCGGCAGCTCCGGCGCTCGCTCCAGGATCACAACTCGCTCCAGGATCACAACTCGTCTTCTCCTCCTGCAGGTCTGGGCTCCATGTCCCGCTCACTCCCTCCGTTGGCAGGAGGGAAGCACTCGCGGGGCGGCTTCCCCAGCCCCCGTACCCACGCGTGGGCTGAACCAGCGTCCGGCCGTTTCCTCGTGAACCTCAGCGAGCCGGAGCGTTAATCCGGAGCGTTAATCCGTCGGGATGCGGGTGCTTCCCGGTGGGGGCAGAAGCAGCACCAAGAGCTCGCCCGGTGCAGGGGCCAGGCCGTGGCTTCGGGGCAAGGGCGGGGGCGGTGCGGAGCCGCCGCGCTCGCACCCCGGTTAACGCTATGCAATCCCCATCGGACGACGCAGGGATCTCTCCGGGCTGCATCCTTCCTCCCTGGGCTGGGAGCGGCCTGGAAAACCGGTGCGTTTCCACAGCACGAGTGTGCACCGCGCGCCCAGGCGGTGTCCGGCAAAGCCTTTGCAATCCCCGAAGGCCCCGCAGCCTTTCAGGCAGGAGGTAATGCTTTTTCTTTGTAAATAAGAGTTAAAACTAAGAAAAATAAAAAAGAGAAAATAAAGAGGAGCTTGTGAGAAGGCCAATCCCAGCGGCGCAGGCTTTCCCGCTGGCTCCCAGCGTGTCACTTTCCTGTTGAGGTGTGCTCTAGCATAGGCCCTTTCTAGGAGTGTCGTGAGTGGTGATAGCACTAAAACACCCCCGCGGGCAGCGCCGCTGCCGTGGTAGATAGATTGACCACTAACCCCGTCCTGACGGTGGCATCTTCCTGCAAACATTTCAAACCTGTACCTTTTATATAAAAAGACAAATAAACACCAGTAACGAACCTGCCTAATGATCCTGTTTACGGTGCATGCAGCAGTCTGTGGATTAAAGTGACAATCGAATCCACCTCTGGAGCTCGTGTGGCCTCGTGTTTTCCGCGCTTTTTTCGCTCCTCCGTTGGAATTTTTTCCCCTTTGGTTTTTACCCCACAAACCCTGACGTGGTGCAAAGAGGCTCTCACACTGGCGCACAGTCCTGTGGGACGTCTGCTCCCCTCCGTGCCGTCCTGGGGGTTCCTGCTCCCCAAAACACGTGGCAGGCGGTGGCCGTGGAGGGCTATAAATAACCCCCGCGGCAGCCTGGGCTGCGGGGCCGGCGCCCGCGCTATTTCGGGCCTGGCCTCGCACCAAAATTCCTCTGGAAATAACCGGCATCTGCCAGCGCGGGAGGAGGATGCCCAGACGCTGACCTGGCGCACGGATGCGCTCGTGGGGCCACATCTGGGGTGGCCCGGGAGAGCCCCACGGAAGCTGCCGCATCCTGCCCGGGGGCTGCCCGGCCTCCTGCCCCGCTCCCAGGGCCGCTGGTACCGGCTGGTCCTGGAGGAAACCCCAGGGTGGCCAATCGTGGAGGAATTTCTCCTGAATTTTGTGGCAAACCCATGCTGTGGGGAGAGGGTCCCAGGTGCATGGGGGACGCACGCTTTGGATACACCTGTATTTTATTTCAACAGCAGCAAAACGTAGCAGTACAGCATGTGTCTGTGCAGGATTACTGTGGAAGTGATACAGACCATTTTTAAAACTCTTTTCTCCCACGAAGAATTACCAGGCTGTTTCTGCTGCGCTCACGTGCCCAGAGCCGTCCTTGCAGCGCGGCCGGTGCTGCAGCCTCGTGTTCCATTCTCAGCACTTTGTTTCCAGCACGGTCTGAGGAAGCCTGGGGCTCGCTCGGCTCAAATGGACGGGCCCGCCCCCACGGGCCAAGAGCTCTCCTTGCAGCGCGGCGGGTGCTGCAGCCTCGTGTTCCATTCTCAGCACTTTGTTTCCAGCACGGTCTGAGGAAGCCTGGGGCTCGCTCGGCTCAAATGGACGGTCCCCAGTGTCATTCCGGGTGCTGCCCGGGATCGCGCGCCCCCGAGGGACAGTCCGTGGGAAGGGGCTCCGCTATCGCAGCGCGGCAGCGGCCGCCCCGCGGTGCAGCCTG